AAATAGTTAACAAAGTATAAAGTGAAAAGTTTTATTTAAAGAGATTCTACAAATGTATATATATAATAATAAACAGAGGTCTATCTAATAGAACATAAATAGTTTTGCTTAATAATAACTAGCTATATTCAAGATGTACTATAAAAAGAAATATTATATAAATATTATAAGTTTTAAATAATAAAACATATAAGCAATAAATATAAAGTTTACTATTATATACATATTAAGTATATATTAAATTATAGAATTAAAAGTTAATTTTACTTATTGAATTTTATAAATATAACTAGAATATAATTAAAGAGTTTTAAAGATATACTTAAAATAATCAAAATAATTAAAATAATTAGATAAATAAATAATATATAATCTTATAAAATTTTTATATAAAAATCTTTTCTGTTTTAGTCTAAAAAGAAATAGACAGATTATAATTAAAATTGCAATCAATAAATAAAATATTTAATACTAATTATAAATTTTATTAGAAATAATTTGCTATATATCAACAAAGAAAAATTAATAAAGGCAAATTTTTATATATTTAATACAATATTTAAATTTATATTTTTTTATTAATATTAAAAATTTTGTATAAAAATATATAACAATTAATTTATACAAATATAGCTATATTGTTTAAATCAATTTAATATTTATTATATAGAATATAGTATTAATTCTGCTGTATAGCTAGCATTTTTTTTATAAACATAATACTTTATTGCTAATTAGTTTACTAGATATTTATTGTTAGAAATAATACTAAAATTTGAACTTATTTTAATAAGAAATTTTAATTAATTTTTTTATAGTTAGATTAGGATTAAGAGTTAGTATTATAATTAAAAAGTATAAGTAGCTTTTAGTAGAATTTTTATATTTAAATAGAGGTTCTAAATTTTAATAGTATTTAATTTAGCATTTACTAATATTTTTTTATATATAGTTAATTCACAAAGTTACTTTATAGGCTATTTATTTTGTTTATAAAAAAATTTTTTATTAACAACTTTAGAGCTCCAATCCAAATGTATCTGCGATCCATTTATCTGATAAGTTTTATCCGAATATCCGTTTTTTTAATTCGGATATCTGAACAGATTAACCAAATCATCCGATCAGAATCATATGATTTTGGTACTATTCGATTTGTTTCATCAAGATGAATCGAATAGCACCAAAATCATATGATTCTAATCGATAATTCATGAAATAATTGGGGTTTTGGCAAATTATATTTTTTGTCAATTTTCGTCTATCGATGTTTGAAAATATATATTTTTTTTGTCAAACTCAATTTCGATATTTGAAAATATAATCAAGCAAGTGCTAACTTCAAGTACGACAGTGTTACTGTTTACTTGAAGAGCTCTATGCTTTAATAGACTGTCTGAACCTGTCTAAACTCAGGTAAGTAGATATTCTTTAATATATTAGGTACTTGGCACTTGAATCATTGTTTAAAGGAAGTCAAAATTAGTATTCTATATTGTATTATACTAATACATTACAGTTCTAGTAAGAAATCACTTGGTGCTTATTTTGCAATCCTACAAATTTATTACTATGACAAGGTTATTTCAACCAGTCAGCCCTGCAGGCTATAACCCTAACGTTGCCCAGAAAAATGAACTAGACTATTTTGCTGGCTTAAATATAATTTCAGATACAGATCTCTGGATAAATTATTAAATTTTTTTTTTTTTAGTGGAAATACTAGTACTTCATCTTTCATCAGGAGAATTAGGAATTTGTCTTTCGTCATATGATCATGCAAAAAAAGGTATCTAACGACTATAGTTTGATGAGAAATTTTAGCAATTTATTAGATGGCTTACAATTAATTGGCGGTTCAATGCCTTCTCACTTTCAATTAGCATTAGTATTAGATTGAACATTGTATTGATATACTATTCAGTTGTATTTATTATGTAAATAGAAAATATTTTAAAGCACAAATTTAATGATAATTAGAATTAGAATAATTCTTACAAGAATAATAATAATTCCTATAAAAATTCTCATGATAATTATCATGATTACAAATAAAATAATAATAAACACCAATTCCTTTTAAATAAAAAATTTATATATAAATAAGATAGAGTATAAATAAGATTGCATTGAGTTAATTTCTTGGTTCTTAATATTAAAATTTTTAAAATACTGTATTTTTGTGACATGTGAACCTTGCGGTGATTTTGGATGCCAAATCTTGATTTTACCCAGGTATATAAATGTGTAGGTATCATACTTATATACCCAGGCATGTAATAGTAATAAAAACATAGAAGTGTTTATACAGGTACATGGCATGAACTAGGGGAATATCCCAGGTACACATGTCACAGAAATATGGTAGCTCTGGCCATCCGGCATTTTTAAGACCGGGCTGGGTTATGAAAACAAAAAATTAACTTAGCATGGCCTAAGCAAGAAATGAGCATGTAAATGAAAATCTGGAAATGAACTTTAGTTTTCACAGTGGCGAACTTAGCCCCTGATGAATTTTGATATTACGTATCAGCACTAATAGTGTGATTGGGTTCAGTAATACAATAACATAGATTAGACATTCATATTATCACAATTCTTCAGGTGTTAAACTCGTCATAGTGAAAACTTATAATTCACTTCCAGGTTTTCGCTCTCAAACACTCAACTATAAATATTTACATGAACCATATTTGCGATCTTAGTAATAATTCTAAACTTTACAAATTACTACCTTTAGCAGAAAATAAGATGCCTTTCGCAATATCTGTATCATTTTATAAGTAAATTAATAAAATGTTCTACAACATAACATTTAACAGAATCTTAGGGTCAGAAAATTCAAAATACCACTCAATTTTTTTTTTTCTACGTGCTAACAACTCGAATGGTTCAACTAATATCCACTTAAAAAAGAGATGAAATGCATTGAGTCTGATTTTGTAATCTACTAAAAAATATATATATAATTTCAAATAAAAACCCTACTTCAATTTTGTAAATAACAAAATTCGAGCTTCAGATTTCTAGTTGAAGTGGGAATATTTTGTTAAAAAAAAGCTCAGTTCATCACAGTACTTATATAGTAATAAGTATCTACTTGGCGCTCTTGATACAGATGCTGAAATTAACCAATTAAATACAACATAATCGATCGGTCTATTTGTTTACACTAATGAAAGTTAATTTTACTTGAATTCATGATGTTAGTATTAGAAATGAATAAATAAAATAATAATTTAAAAGAATAGAGTAATATTTAATCATTTTCGCTTTATTACTTATTACGGAATTGTGTTGAACAAATAAGACGTTAATTAAATATTTGTCCACGAAGAGCTAGTTAGACCCACAATAGGATTAAAATTTTCTAATTGACCATTAAGACATTATAGTATCTAAGAGCCACAGATCACCAAGAGCTTTACCAACTACCAAAAATATATATCTGTCGGGAGCTTTTAGTAAATTATAACTAATTACGAACTTAAGACCAATTTGTACTAAGACAAGTATCACTATTCTTTGTATAACTTTTTAGCATTGCTCGCTTGGTATCATCATCTGCATCCCTATAAAGTTGTTGAAACAATGAATTCAATGCAACTTCACCTTCCAGTTTTTCTTGGTCTTTATTAATTTCTTTCTCCATCTTGTCCCAATTTTTCGCGTTATGTGCCAATGAAGGATAAGTTATCTTGCCTAAAAAAAAATATACTGAATTAATAAGAATGTGACACCAATTTTTGTTTCATATATTGATTAATTGAATATGCTTAATTACCATCAGATGTTGAAAAAGATCCAGCACTCCCTCAAGAACCCAACTTAATTCCAGCTTTGGCTTAACTTCAATTTTAGTGGATAATACTTCATATTTACATTCCTTAGGTAATATTTCATAAGTTAATGGATCAATTTCTAAGAAATAATCAGATCTAGTAGGCAATTTGACAGCAACTGATTCCTAAATAAATTTAATAATTCGCGTTAAAATAAATTATATCAATCTCATATTTTTTTTAAATTTTAAAACAATAAACAGACCAAACGATTACAGAGCAATTATACCTAATATCGTTAAGAAATAACTGCTAATAAGAATTAGATTTAAATTTAGATTATTGGTTGCTAAAATGTAAAAATCAAGATTTTTATTTACCTTATAGAAATTAGTAAATATGGGGAGATATAATAGAAATATTGCTTCTAGGGTCTCTTAATCCAATAGTACTAATGTCAATATCATCTGTTACAATATTTTCGGAAATCCTTCGATAAATTTAAAGAACAATATTGCCAAAGTTGATTTCTATATTTATTATTTAAGGGAAATTAATATTCAAATCTCATTAATTTTCAAAATGGATCTAAAATTTACAGTTCGACCAAAGATTCAGCCATAATGTCAACTAAGATATCTAATTTCCAAATTTTTAATTTGAATTTTTCCACAAGATAGCTATCCATCAATAGTCTGTTATCTGATATTATATTCTTGGCTCTACTTTAATTGTTGTAGTAAACTAAACATTTCATTGAATTCATATTTGTTTCCTATTATTAGACAATAGAAGCTATATATTATCACAATATTATTATCATTATTATTACATATTTACTTACTACTACAGCCACTTATCCAACACATCAATTAAAAATTGAAGTGCATAATACTAGTGATTGAAGGTAAATATACTATCTCTAAGTCTAATAATAGCTCAACACTTTAGATACTAAAACATTATATTCAAAATTACCTTGAGGTTTTATTTTCGAATTCAATATAAGAATATATGTTACAACTATTAGCACTAAAACAATGTATATACAACAAAAAAAAACTCTTTCTGTCTATCACCCGTACACAAATTTCCCAGCTTAATTATTTTAAAAATATCTTATAACTTTATTTTCTACTAAGTTAACCTTAGTTTTGCTACTAAATA